AACAACTGAAAGAAAATCAGTCGGACTGTCCTAGAAAGATGCAGCGTGAAAAACTGAACAAGAATATCATCAACTAGTTCTCTGTTTCTCTTACTTTTAGGGAGAATTTTAACATATACCTCAGAATGTAGACCCAGTTTTCTTTTGTGGACCCAATTTCTGCTTATATATTTTCAAGCTGATTTCGACGGAAGCTCAGTGTCCTAAATAAGGCTCTGGACTTTGAAAGAGCACAGACTAGACCGAGAGCTTTAAGCCGATGATCTATAACAATATTCCGCAGTTTTTTAGACTCTCCAAACACGCAATCTCAGAAAAAGCAGCTTTTTTATGCGGTTTTCCGAGAAGAAATCCGTATTTTGACATCTTTCGCGATTGTTTTTGGCGTACTTCGATCGCTGTGGGTACCATTAGATTATCCGACCTCAGATCTATCTAATGATGTGTCATACATGGACTGTCGAGGCTTATTCGACACAATTTCTCTTAGAAAGATTTTATTGAAAACCCGAAATTGATGCTCCAATATCTCGACCAGGACGAGTCGGGTAGCGGGGATACTTTTACTACAGATTCACTGTATGATAAGGAACAAGATGTACGAATCAGATTTTCCCTGGGAGGACTTCCATTTTTTTTTATCAATTGTACAATAAAGTTGCATTTCACTCATATTTTTGTCTTATCTTGCATTTATGTGCTGAAAAATAATTTGACTATTTAGAACATATTCAGCTATGAATGTGTGAATAGATTCGTATAATCTGATAGGAAATGAGCACCGGAAATAGTGCGATCTAACTACCTCCCAATGTAGAGGAACTCCTGCACGAAAAGTCCTTTGCCGGAAACATATTCTGTGATTCTTTTGTATCGACAATAATACATTACAAATGAATTCATGACACACTTTCACTCAAATAATTGGATCATTATGTGTGCACCATTTCTTTCATAGAAAGGAAAATTTATCTGCTGTAAAAATATTTTCTTATCTTCATCCTTCTCACAATAACGCAGCTACCAACAAGGTTGCGAGTGATCGAGACGATGAATAATTCAACAGCAACTAGTGCCGCGTATAACATTCAATTGTATCATTTCATTCTCTTTCCCGTTTGGGCAATTATCGGTATTACATGTTCGATTATTTGTTTTATTCGTTTTCTGAGACAAACTGCAGTTCAACAACGTTTCAGTTATAGATTCTATTTTACTCTCCTTTATTGTGTTACTGTTGGTCTCTATAATACACCCTCATTTCTTCTCGGTTATTCACTTAACTTGTATAACAGATATCCGATTCTTTGCACTGTTCACTTGATTCTAATTAATTCGACTGGTTCAGGAATGTCTTATCAGCTAGCATGGGCAAGCATCGAAAGATATTTTGTCATGTTTCAGAAACCTCCGAAACTTTCTTTACGAACGCAGTTTCTACGATTTATAATCGCCTATATACTCAATTTGGTTATCAACGCCGCATTCATCCTGGTACCACAATGTGGCTTTGTGGCGTGTGTTGCGTGTGTTAGCCGGGAGCCAAACTTAGTTATTTGGTGGTCTGTGTACTCATTCTTCATTCCATCGATAGTGATGATTCTCGCAACTTCAACACTTATCTATCGTTTATGCCGACAACAACAAAGTCTTCATAAAAACTTACAGTGGAAGCCATTGAAAAACTTGACAGTTCAACTTCTTCTCTATTTGCTATGGTATATCATCTCCTACTGGCCAACATCATTATACCGTGTGTTAACAACATTCGATGCTCAACGATATTCATCACCTCTCATAAGTAACATTCTAGTTGTAACGATATATCTTGGCGTTGACGTATATCCACTTTTAACATATTTATTATTAAAGACAAAACAGAAATCTATTCTATCTAAGAAGCTGGCTAAAGCAGCGACGGTTCAGTCCGGTCAACCTAAATTATCATCGACAGCATTTACGAGTTTGTCAGAGACTTTTAGGGCTTTTCCATGCCCATGCTTCAACTTTCGATATTGTTTTGCCGACATATAGAGGATATGGAGCCCTGCTTAAGACATATCTGATCAGACATAATGTGACGAGTTGCTTCCGTGAAGTGCAATACGTTAATCAAAGCATGAATGTATATCTGCAATATGTGATATGTCTCGTATTATAGAAAGAACTCAAGTGGAAACTATGGATACTGGTATTCCCACTGCATCTCGGATCTCCAACATATCTCGACCATGTTTTACAAAGTCTAGAATAATACGTAAATAATGAAGGAGAAAAAAAAACAAGTGATCTTCCTCTTGCGCCACTTACATAATTTGTGATTCTGCTTTTTTGCGCATTGTTCTTTTTTTCTATTTTCTCGATCTATTTATGTTCTCTCGGTGTCCGTTGGCGAAAACAAAGACGATGGAAAGCAAATAAAAACAAAAAAGTAGTGCAAAGATCAGAATCCATTTTCGCAGATGATATTAATTTCAGTTCAGTGTAACTGTTTGGACTTGAGCTAAAAATGAACTATGAAAATCTAGTAAACACAGCACTATGTAGTGAAATCTGTCCTAAACACAATCGGTAGAATGAACCTTTTCTTGATTGCGAGTAGAGAAATAAACGTAAGAATGAAAGAATTTATAAATTGTATGTAACTTCGATCTTCTTGAATTCTCTCTCAACATGGACTCATTATGCAATTGGCATTTCAAACAATGGATAAATACAAGCTATAGCAGAAGTACACTTGTCCACTTAGAAAAACTCACTAGAATATGTAGAATTAATTTAACAATTGACATAACAGTAATGATGGCTGTACCATTGATGCAAAAAATAATTCCAGTTTTTTTCATTCAACTTCGCGGAAAATCTCGTTCAATATACGGGATAGACCAGAATTAACTTTGTAATAAAGACTTAAATATCTTCAATGTTTCAATCAAATCGGCTAATCTTTTTTTAGTTATAGGATATACTGCCAGTTTAGTCGCTTTAGTTTAAATAAAATGTCTGTTAGCTAAAAATCCTTACATGCGTATTGTTTGCGGAGTTCTTAAATGTTCTTTACTGAAGTAAATAGTGGTTGTTAAAAGCACTCTTTTTCAATGTTTTTCTTATGAATAAAAAGACAATTCTAGCAGCGACAAAAGAATGAGGCCATTTGATTATCATCATGTTTGAACATCTTGATCAAAATCGGGTCGTTTATCAATTCCGCGATGGAAATTGTCGATTCGTGAGGGTGTAGCGGACGAAGGATACAGACAGCTATAACAAAGAGAGTGTAAGTCATGATGTTGTCTCAATTGAGCAATAAATACCTTGAGCAAGCCTCGATCTGGCTGGTCGTCAGTTAGTTCCATCCCGATTGTATCATTGATATTAAGGCGCTCACATGCTGTCAAATAACATCCTACCACCACAGCACTGGCAGGGAGATTACTGCAACAAACGTATAACAAATATTCAACACAAATAAATCGTGGACTGAATATCACAAATTTTTACCGTTCAGGCATTGCACAATCAACTGAAACGTCATGTTTCGAATCACATCTCGCATGAAACAGTCATTTATCGTTGACAACATCGTTTCGACGTAATTGACAGGTGTTGCCAGATTGATGTTCTGATTGAGCGCCTTGGGAATAGTAATTTCATCGTCCTGAAACAAGAGATGAAATCGAAGAGACAAAAAGAAAAATACTCACCGTAAGTCGGTCACTGGCAAAGGAAGTGGGAATGCCAAACCCCGAATATCCAACCAATTTCGTTTATTGCACTCAGGCACACGATCAACAATGGCTTGTCAACTTCACTAGTGGTGATTGAAAGAATATATTCAATCAGGATAGCTTGTGTTCGAATGAAGATCTCATTAGACAATCCCTGTTTTGTAGCCAACTATCACAAACAACCATTGTGAACAAAGCAAAGAAAGAGGAGATCATTCTCACATTGAATAGCTCAATTGATTTTCGTACAATAAATGGTACATGATAATGTCGTTTGTGACCGATTCCGAGATTTGAGTCCGTATGATCTGAGACCGAGTCAAATATAGAACACGAAGATTCTCAATTTCAGAAATAGACTGGCTCTTCAACCTCATGATGAGAAAAAAATGCTCGGATCGAGGTCCACTTGTGATTGAAGTTCCACTCCGCCATCGGTGATAACACAAATATCATACTAATTTAAAACGATTTAAAGATACCAAACAGGACAGTGCACAAAACAACTTACCGGATCGTATTCACGATAACCCGAAAAACAAAGCAGTTTGATTATTTTAGTCGTCAAAAATTTAGCTAGATCCTTGGTCAATCCATCGGCGTTTTCGAGGAAAATTGCTGACAACCAATTCTAGCTCGAGACAAATGCACTGCTGACGACCAAACAACAGCGCTTAACTCATTTTAATTACACTAGCCGTAATGCCAGTCATGGTCGATACTTGTTTATACAATGAAACTTGACTGTCGACAAAACCAAGATATCTTCAATAAACGAGAGATGGAGAAATCTTCAAGTATGATGAATACTCATGGATCATTATTTTTGACCCCAGCTACGATTAGAGTAGTGAGCAATGGATTCGACTTTGTTTGTTGACCGTGTGTCAGTTGAGTGCACCAACCATGAATATCGAATGGTGTCCATGCACCAGCATTCACTTGTACAGCATCGAGTTGTCTTAAGATAGATTTCGAATTGTGATTTCCACAGGAGAGAAATCAATGTTTAACTTACAGTTGAATAGCAATTGTTTGACTGATATCATCGGCGCTGGACAAATCACCATCCAATGCTACAATAATCTTATCGTTGACCTTGAAGTATTTTGCCGCAGGATGATGTATATAGGCTAGTTAGATCTGGGAATATTTAGACATTCACAGTTCCTGCAGGTCGACATTTACTATGCTAGTTAGATATTTAGATGTTTCCAGGTTCTGCCGGTTCACATTTTGTAGGCCAGTTGGATATTTAGATATTTAGATATTTACACTTTGTACAGGTTCACATTTTGGAGGCTAGTTAGGCATTTAGATATTTCGATATTTACAGTACCTCCAGGTTTACAGGTTATGGGGTAGTTAGATATTTAGATATCTAGAGATTTAATGTTTCTGCTGATTCACATTTTGTAGGCCAGTTAGATGTTTAGATATTTACAGTTTCTGCAGGTTCACATTTTCTAGGCTAGTCCGATATTTAGATATTCAGATATTCCCACTACCTCCAGGTTCACGGGTTATAGGTTAGTTAGATATTTAGATATTTGGACATTTACAGTTCCTGCTGGTTCACATTTTGTAGGCCAGTCAGATATTTAGATATTTACAGGTGCTGCAGGTTCACATTTTGTGGGCTGGTTAGATATTTGGATATTTAGATAGTTAGATGTTTACAGTTTGTGCTGGTTCACATTTTGTAGGCTTGTTAGATATTTAGACATTTATATATTTACAGAATAGATTAATTAATGGGGCTGTTTTGAAACCTTTCAAAACATAGGAGGACCGCTCGCTCCTCTACTCGCCGAAATTTTCATGCAAGATTTTGAGCGGAAAACCCAAGGAGAATTGGGTCGCATGGGTATCAGATATTGGCGGCGGTATGTCGATGATATTTTCGTGATGATCAACCTAATCACTGATGCAAAAGATCTCACCAGGATGATCAATCTTACTCATCCTTCGATACAGTTCACATGTGAGAATAAAAATCTTGAAAAACAGTTACCATTTCTTGATGTGCTGATAACGAGAACAAATCATGAATTTCGAACTCAGGTGTACAGAAAACCAACATATACTAGGCTGATGACAAAGTGGGACAGTTACGTACCAAAATCATACAAGAAGAATGCCATCTCATCGATGGTGTACAGAGCCATTAAAATCTGCTCATTCGACGAGAGTTAGGTATGGTCCTTGGACCAACAACCGTTGCTCGACAGCAAGCACCACAAGAAAAGATCGACAATGTTGTTTTTCGAGTTCCATTCTTCGGCAATGCCAGCACAGTGTATACAGAACGCATCAAAACAGCCGTCAAAAAAATCTATCCAAGGAAGATTGTGAGAATTGTTTACGATACAAAAGCAAGAGTTGGCGATGGATTCAGCACAAAAGACAAAGTACCCGATTGTCTGAAATCAGGATTAGTGT